ATCTCGATAGTGCGGCCCCTCTGAACCCTGATAACGCAGCCGAAGACCCACGTGCACGAGGCTGAGGAGGAAGAAGAGGAAATTGTGGCATGTGTCACACGAGACTTGTATTGAACATCCAAACCAAACCATGTAAAAATTAGATTATATCTATTAATAGAAACTAACATTCATCAATCACGAAATTAAATAATAATGAAAAATTATTAAACATCCACAATGTAAAATTCATGCTTAAACTCTGAAATTGGAATCCAAATAATAAAATTCACACAGTTATGATACATATAGATAAAATTCACATTTTTTTTTGCTGTAAAACCACAAAGTCAATTCCACTCTAACATTGCTATTATGGGAAGTGAAGAAAGTTGAGGTTCCCCATAAAATCAATTAGTAATTATATAGCGAGTATCACAACTTACTTATAAGCTAATGCAAGGTTTTTCCTCTTATCAATGTGAAATTCATTTTCAATACACCTCTTCACGTGTGGTGAATTTTCAAGCTTAGCACGTGTGATAACACAAATTGAGTGACATGAAACATGTGTGGCCGTTGAGTTTCACACATGGAACAACCTGCTTTAATACCGTAAAGAAAGTTGAAGTCCTACCATAAAACCAATATAATTTTCATTCTCAATAGGTAGATTTATTAAAAAAGAAGAAAAGTATAATTTGTCAAGGGTACCATAAAAAACTAACATTGACCATAACAACATCCATAACAAACAAAACTTCAACAACCAATACAAGACATAAAAAATTCACATTGAAGCTCAACATTACTATCATGAAAAAAGACATTATTATGAACTCACGTTGAAACCCTAAAATTGATGGAATCCAAATAATAAAATTCACTGAGCCATAATATACATATACACATGTAGGTTTTCCTCCTAGGGAGAATAGTTCTCCATGTGCAACAGCAAAGCTTCAAGGCAACATAAAGATCCCAGGCCTCGGTAGGCATTTTAGTTCTTAGTCTAATACTACATCAAACACTTTACTAAGTCAGTCCAACTTAGTTTAGTCTAAAGTAGTCCAGCTTAGTCCTTAAAGCTAGTCTAATCCGAGATAGTTCGGTGCAACAAACACACCTTAAAAATGTCATTTGCTAACCCATTGAAAAGTTGTGGCATGTTTTTTTTTTTTTTTTTTGGTAAAACCTTTATGAAGAAATGAGACAATTTTATTTCAAACACTAGATTACAAAAAGAGGCCCACCTACAAAAAAGTACCAAACACACAAATGGACCTCCCAACAAACCCAACAAAGCTCAACAAAAAGAGCCCAGCACTGTAGACAAAACAAAAGAAGTTTCTTGACCCTAGCGACCATCGCCTTCAAAGTTTTCCCGATCAACCCAGAACCAATCCTCCAGCCAACACCAAATCCAAACAAGCATCTCAGCAGAACCCAGCCACGAAAGCCGTCCCGATCGCCCCCGACCTCAGTCAGAAAGTGGAAGAAATCCGTGGGAACACCCCAAACAACACTGCAATCGAAGGTAGATAGAGATAAGGAGGTGGTGTTTTAAACACTCGAGCTGATGAGTCCACCGAAGCTCTACGCACTCTCTCAAATGATCGCAATAATTTGCGTTGAATTCTGAATGCAGATCGAATTGAAAGTATTTGGGGAAGACAGGCTTTGTGTAGAGACATTTTGGTTGAATCAGGAATAACTAGGGGGAAAGTTAACCCAAAAACTAAGAAACAGATGACGAAATGAAAAGCTTTCCTCCAACCCCCGCTACAACGAGGGACGTCAGCAACGATTTTATACGGTGGGGAAATCACTCACACAGATGGTGGAAAAGACTCTCAAGAAGAGAGAAGGAACTCTCACACGGAGAGAAGATACAATGATGAAAGATTAAATTGTGGCATGGTTCACACGAGACTTTTATTGTATATTGAAACCAAACTATAAAAAACGTGATTAAATCTATGAATAGAAACTAACATTTATCAATCACGAAATTAAATAATAATGAAAAAAATTTCATTATACATCCACAATGTCAAATTTACAATAAAACTCTAAATAGGTAGATTTATTAAAATAGAAGAAAAGTACAATCTGTCAAGGAGGACATAAAACCTAACATTGACCATGACAATATCAGTTCCATAACGAACAAATCTCGAACAACCAATACAAGATATAATAAATTCACACTGAAACTTTGTTTTTTAATTAAAACAACAATATCAGTTCCAATGCAATATTGCTACTATGAAAAGAGACATTATAGTGAATTCAATTCTAAAATCGATGGAATCCAAATAGTAAAATTCAGAGTTATAATATACACATATATATACGCATAGGTATTCGTCCTGGGGAGATTAGTTCTCCATGTGCAACAGCAAAGCGTTCAAGGCAATGCAGAGACCCACAAACCTCGGAAGGCATACTTTGATGGTCTCTACACGATCACCCTTTTAGCTTCATCACTAGACTCCTTGAAACGATATGAATTTAGTTCTAAATTTCAGGAATCGGCGTCCTGGTGGTTCGATTTTATTTAACCAAAAAGATAATGCAGTGCAACTGAACAAGATGGAGTTGTAGGAAGCATGATCAACTGAAATGAACTGAGTTGCTGCTGAACTGAGTCGCTGTAGGAAACAAGATGCGGTGCAATGGAACTGAGTTGCTGCTGAACCTCCATCAGATGGTTTAAGATGGGCAACATGATCAACTGAAATGCGCTCAGCTTCCACCGTCTTTGAAACGTTAACACTCAGAAGACAACAAATAATTTAAACAGACAAATGATAAACCACAATAAATGCTTCTAGTAGGAACCAAGAAAACTGTACAAATCCCACAAGTTTTCCATAAGATATGAACGTAGAATATCTGGCCAACAGAAAAAGAATTAGAAAGCCCCTTGACCTACAAATATTGAGACCCTAAAACTCATTGCACAAAGATTTCACTAGGGGCCATGATTTCATGAGGCAAATAAGAGTTGCAGGAACTAGTAATTTATTAGACGAAACATATCAAAAAGATAGTGAGCATCGTATACAATGTCATCACACATAATTAATTGTAAATCGCTAAATTAGCCACCTGAAATCGGCCGGAGAACCCACCCGGAAACCCAACTTTTTCTGGGTTTTAAATTTTCTTCCAATCCGAAACGGATTCGTGCATGAAAAGCTCGGAAGTTGGCTGAAAGGATTATGGCTCGGTGCCTCAACTGTGGCCTCGGTCCACCATCAACCACCAGGACGCGACGATCTCGAATTCCGATTCGATTCAGCCATCATAGGATTCTTTGTCAGCAATGGTTTAGTCGGCCTCATTAATCACCGTACTCCACCACCAAGGACGAGTCGCAGTTGTTGTAGAAGAGAGGGAATAGAGGTTTGGGACGCCGGACAAGGGAAGGAATTGTGCCATTGGTGTCGCCGGAGAAGACAAGCCATGGCTGCCATGGTTGGAAGATGCGCAGATTTGTTGGAGAGAAGACGAAGGGATATGTTTGGTCACAGGATTAAACAATAATGAAGAAAAACTCATTAAACATCCACAATGTCATATTCACATTAAAATTCTCAGATTTATTAAAAAACAAAAAATAAAATCCGTCAAAGATGACATAAAGTCCGACATTGACTATGACAACAATCATAACAAAAAAGTCTCAAATAACCAATACAAGATGTAACAAATTCACACTGAAACTCTTTTTTAAATTAAAACAACAATGTTACTTCCATTCTAGTATAGTTATCATAAAAAAATACATTATTGTGAATTCACATTGAAACCCTGAAATCGACGGAATCCAAATAATAAAATTCACACAGTGCAACAGCCCGAGAACTCGGGAGGCATACTTCGGTGGTCTCTACATGATCACCCTTTTAGCTTCATCACTAGAATACCTGAAACGATATGAACAAATATTTTTACTAAAATATGTTTGTCTAATATAGCAACACACAACAGATTACATGAATTTAGTTGCAGGAAACAAACATGCACATAACAATACCTTTTCAAATAGGATTACCCACAGAAGATGCCTTTGCGAGCCCCCACTAGTAATCAATAACTAAAGATTCAGCGGCCAAATAAACCAAAAAAATTGATGATGTTAAGCCACAGTCGATACATAAATGTATATCTAAAAATCAAATAAAATAAAATAGACTATCCAAATTACCGGATGATGTTTGGGATGTGAGAAATTTTAGGCCACTCCTCTCCACTGGCTTCTGTACAGCGACGGATAAGTTTCGGACATCTCCTAATGGTAAGATTCTGAATTGGTATTTTGCAGAGGAAGTCTGGCAGTGTTTCTAGCTCTTCGCACCACTCAATAGTCAAGGAAAAAAGACAAGGCATGATTGTAGGAAATTTAGAATCCTCTTTCTTCCACCCTCTCACGCCTTCCCACTCTTTCCAAGCCCACATCTCCCCAAAGGAGAGGTCTTTCAGTTTTGGGAATATCGAGGAGGATGATTTGAATGCTGCTTGGTCGTCTTCTAGTCCCAAAAATTCACCACCAACCTTTTCTATGAGCCTTATCTCCGATAGCTTCAGTCTTTCAAGGAAGGGCAATTTACCAAGAGGAGGCACAATTTTCCAATTTACACAATGACCAAGAGTAAGGAATCTCAACATGTTTAAATCCGTCAACCATCTCGGCCAGGTGGGAGCCACAACCCCATTGATGCCTAAAGATTCCAGATCTTCTTGCGGTTGCAAGGCATTCAATATTTGAAGACTACTCTCTGGAGTCGTAGGGGACAGACTCAACAGAGTCCACCAATCAATTTGGAGATTAAAAATTTGTTTTTTATCAACCAATGGAAATTCCACAACCTCGCTTACATCAACCATATCCCCGGTAAGTAATATTGTGAGACTGCCCCGAAGGTTTTTCAAGCTTCTCAGATCCCCCAATTTGAATGCTTCGTCATTGCGACAAAAAAAAACACGACACTCATCTAGTGTTTGCAAACCTGTTAATTCCCTATCCCTTTTGCCAAGTACTTCAGACCAGATCCCATCACATAAAGATGCCTTAAATTAATCAACTTGCTCATGTTACGAGGAAAATTTGAAAGTGAAACGCAATCCCGAATGACCAAGGTATACAAATTGTATAAATTACAAATAGAGTCCGGTAATTTCTTCAAATAAGAATTCTTAGACAAATCAAGATGCCTCAAATGTACCAATTGACCAATCTCCTCTGGGGGTTCTTTAATGGAACTACCGATCAAATTTAATGTCCTAAGACATTTCAATTGCAAAACAAAACTTGCGTCTATGCATAGCAGTGATGGTCTTGAGCTAAAAACTGCGAGGGTACGTAGTTTTTTGCAATTGTAACATGAGGTAGGAAGTGAATCTGAACTGTCGGGAACAAATGTTAAGGTTAAATGGCGAACCTTGCCGCCCAATCCCTCTATCTCATTGTTAGCACCTTGATTAGCCTCCGTAATTGAACATTCCTTCTTGGTGAGAAAGTGCACAAAGTCATGTACAATATCATGCATTTTACAACATATAATCTTACCACTATCGTCATCTTCCTCAAAATCTTGGAAAAACGATCGTGCAACTAAGTTATCAAAAACAATGTTGCCAACTACGCCCTTATCTTTATTCCGTTCCGAATCAAGATAATCTTGTGCCATCCAAAGATTTATCAATTCATCCCTCTTTAACTCATAATCTTTGGGGAAAATTCCACAATATAAAAGGCAACATCTATCTATAGGGATCAAATCATAATAACTTAGAAGCAGTGGTAGGAAAACTTCTTCCTCCACTTCTTTCCAATCCCATAACTTACTATTCAAAACATCTTTCCATTCCTTCATTGTTCTCTTATCACGCATGAGACTACCCAAAGTCTTTGCAGCAAGAGGCAAACCCTTGCACTTCTTTACCATTTCCCTACTAATATCTCCAAACACTTCATACTCATCTGCTTCACTATTAGGAAATGCCATGTGATTGAAGATTGACAAACAATGTTGTTCACTCAACTCTCCAAGATATATCGTGAAAGTGGTTGATCTCACCATACTAGCAACCCTTTCTTTTCTTGTGGTGACCAATATTCTACTGCCTTCAGCACTATTTCGCATCAATGGTACCTTTAACTGGTCCCAGTGTGTACTGTCTTCATTCCACACATCATCCAATACTAGGAGAAACTTTTCTTCCTCAATAGATCTAGACATACGTTGTAAGACATAATCCAACTCATTTGAACCTATGGACTCATCACCAATAATCTTTTTTGCAATCTTCATGACATCAAAAGGCTCTGACACACAAATCCATATTTTCTTTTTAAAATGGGCGTTGACATTGGCATCATTATAGGCTAGTTGGGCTAAAGTTGTCTTTCCCATTCCTCCCATCCCTACAATAGGAATGATGAGGAGGCCCTTCCACTTGCCGTTGCTCTGCATCCTCAAGCACAGCCCGAATTGCTTTTAGATTGTCATCAAATTCTTTAACTTCTTTCTCAACGTTCAAAACAAGTTTCACCTCTTCGGCTACGTATTCATAAGCCATTGAAGCTAACTTTTCTAGTAGTGTGGAGATAAGCGCATCGGTCATTTTTAGGGTAAGGAACTTAGAAATTGGTTGACAGAGGATAAAAAGAGAAGAGTTGGAAAAGGGAAGCTGTATATGAAGAGAAATGCAGGATGTGGTTGTGTGCTATTGCTTTTCTTCTAGCTAGTTCATATAGACAATGGACATATATACCGCGTAGGTCTTCCCGTTTGCTTTCTGTAAAGCAAGATTCTTTGCGTTAATTACCAAAACGAAGATGGGAATATGGTACCAAAGAAAAGAAGAAGAGAAAAGGACGAATGTCCCTCTTCTGCAATTTATATGCACTCTGTTTCGGTGTTTCCCATGGATATCGACGTTGCATCTCCGGCTTCGGAGGAAATTGAGCGTCAATTTAATAGAATAAATCACCACAATGTCATCACACCTGCAATCGGCCGGAGAACTCACCCGGAAACCCAACTTTTTCTGGGTTTTAAATTTTCATCCAATCCGAAACGGATTCGTGCATGAAAAGCTCGGATGTTGGCGGAAAGGATTATGTCTCGATGCCTCAACTGTGACCTCGGTCCACCATCAACCACCAGGACGCGACGATCTCGAATTCTGATTCGATTCAGCCGCATCATAGGCTTCTTCGTCAGCAATGCTTTACTCGGCCTCATTAATCACCGTCCTCCACCACCGAGGACGAGTCGCAGTTGTTGTAGAAGAGATGGAATATAGGTTTGGGACGCCGGAGAAGGGAAGGAATTGTGCCATTGGTGTCGCCGGAGAAGACAAGCCATGACTGCCATGGTTGGTAGATGCGCGGATTTGTTGGAGAAAAGACGAAGGGATATGTTTGGTCACAGGATTAATAAAAGAACTTAAATATTATTAATAATGTTATTAAAAAAACTTAAATATTGTCGGATTTCCGTTTTACAAGAGCATCTCAAAGAGGGTTAGCAATTTTTATCTCTCAAAAAGTGTCATTTGCTTACCCTTTGAGAAGTTGTGGCATGTTTCACATGAGACTTGTATTAAATACTGAAACCAAACTATAAGGAAAAACTTGATTAAATCTACGAATAGAAAACAACATTTATCGATTACAAAATTAAACAATAATGAAGAAAAACTCATTAAACATCCACAATATCAGATTCACATTAAAATTCTCAAATAGTAGATTTATTAAAAAAAAAAAAAAAAAAAAGGAATAATCTGTCAAACGAGACATACAGCCCGACATTGATCATGACAACAATCATAACAAACAAATCTCAAACAACCAATACAAGATGTATCAAATCCACACTGAAACTCTTTTTTTAAATTAAAACAACAATGTCACTTCTACTCTAGCATAACTATCATAAAAAAAGATATTATTGTGAAATCACATTGAAACCCTGAAATCGACGGAATCCAAATAATAAAATTTATACAATGCAACAGCCCGAGACCTCGGGAGGCATACTTGGGTGGTCTCTACATGATCACCCCTTTAGCTTCATCACTGGACTCCCTGAAACGATATGAACAAATATTTTTACTAAAATATGTTAGTCTAATATGGCAACACACAAGAGATTATATGAATTTAGTTGTAGGAAACAAACATGCACAGAAGAATACCTTTTCAAATAGGATTACCCACAGAAGATGCCTTTGCGAGCCACCACTAGTAATAAGATTCGGAGCTAAATAAACCATAAAAATGATGATGTTAAGCCACGGTCAATGCATAAATGTATATCTAAAAATCAAATAAAATAAAATTGACGATCTCAATTACCGGATGATGTTTGGGATGTGAGAAATTTTAGGCCACTCCTCTTCACTGGCTTCTGTACAACGACAGATAAGTTTCGGACATCTCCTGATGGTAAGATTCTGAATTGGTATTTTGCAGAGGAAATCTGGCAGTGTTTCTAGCTCTTCGCACCACTCAATAGTCAAGGAAAAAAGACAAGGCATGATTGTAGGAAATTTAGAATCCTCTTTCTTCCACCCTCTCACGCCTTCCCACTCTTTCCAATCCGACATCCACGCAAAGCAGAGGTCTTTCAGTTTTGGGAATATCGAGGAGGATGACTTGAATGCTGCTTGGTCGTCTTCTAGTCCCAAAAATTCGCCACCAACCTTTTCTATGAGCCTCATCTCCGATAGCTTCAGTCTTTCAAGGAAGGGCAATTTACCAAGAGGAGGCACAGTTTTCCAATTTACACAATGACCAAGAGTAAGGAATCTCAACATGTTCAAATCCGTCAACCATCTCGGCCAGGTGGGAGCCACAACCCCATTGATGTCTAAAGATTCCAGATCTTCTTGCGGTTGTAAGGCATTCAATATTTGAAGACTACCCTCTGGAGTCGTAGCGAGCGGAGGCCACCGATCAAATTGAATTTGGAGATTAAAAATTTGTTTTTTGTCAACCAATTGTAGTTCCACAACCTCGCTTACATCAATCATATCCCCCATAAGTAATATTCTGAGACTGCCCCGAAGGTTGTTCAAGCTTCTCAGATCCCCAAATTTGAATGCTTCGTCATTGCGACCAAAAAAAACACAACACTCATCTAGTGTTTGCAAACTTGTTAATCTCCCTATCCCTTTTGGCAAGTACTCCAGATCAGATTCCATCACATAAAGATGCCTTAAATTAATCAACTTGCTCATGTTACGAGGCAAATTTGAAAGTGAACCGCAATACCGAATGACCAAGGTATACAAATTGTATAAATTACAAATAGGGTCCGGTAATTTCATCAAATAAGGATTCATAGACAAATCAAGATGCTTCAAATGTACCAATTGACCAATCTCCTCCGGGAGTTCTTTAACGGAACTACCGATCAAATTTAATGTCCTAAGACATTTCAATTGCAAAACAAAACGTGCGTCTATGCATGCCCGTGATGCAAAAACTGCGAGGGTACGTAGTTTTTTGAAATTGTAACATGAGGTAGGAAGTGAATATGAACTGTCGGGAACATATGTTAAGGTTAAATGGCGAAGCTTGCCGCCCAATGCCTCTATCTCACTGTTAGCACCTTGATTAGCATTCGTAATCAAACATTCCTTCTTGGTGAGAAAGTGCACAAAGTCATGTACAATATCATGCATTTTGCAACCTAGAATCTTACCACTATCATCATCTTTCTCAAAATCTTGAAAAAACGACCGTGCAACTAAGTTATCAAAAACAATATTGCCAATTATGCCCTTATCTTTATTCCGTTCCGAATCAAGATAATCTTGTGCCATCCAAAGATTTATCAATATATCCCTCTCTAACTCATAATCTTTGGGAAAAATTCCACAATATAACAGGCAACATTTATCTACAGGGGTCAAATCATAATAACTTAGAAGCAATGGTCGGAAAACTTCTTCCTCCACTTCTTTCCAATCCCATATCTTACTATCCAAAACATCTTTCCATTCCTTCATTGTTCTCTTATCGCGCATGAGACTACCCAAAGTCTTTGCAACAAGAGGCAAACCCTTGCACTTCTTTACAATTTCCCTACTAATATCTCCAAACACTTCATACTCATCTGCTTCCCTATTACGAAATGCCATGTGTTTGAAGATTGACAAACAATGTGGTTCACTCAACACTCGAAGATTTATCATGAAATTGGTTGATCTCACCATACTAGCAACCCTTTCTTTTCTTGTGGTGACCAATATTCTACTGCCTTCAGCACTATTTTGCATCAGTGGTACCTTTAACTGGTCCCACTGTGTAGTGTCTTCAGTCCACACATCATCCAATACCAAGAGAAACTTTTCTTCCTCAATAGATCTAGACATACGTTGTAAGGCGTGATCCAAGTCATTTGAACTTATGGACTCATCACTAGTAATGGCTTTTGCAATTTTGATCACATCAAAAGGGTCTGACACACAAACCCATATTCTTTTGTGAAAATAGGCTTTGACAGCGGCATCATTATAGGCTTGTTGGGCTAAAGTTGTCTTTCCCATTCCCCCCATCCCTAGAATAGGAATGATGAGGAGCCCCCTCCCTTCTTCGTCACTCACCAACTTACTTACCAAACTACCCTTTTCTTCTTCTCGGCCAAATATCTTAGATTGATCGACAAAAGACGAGGTTTGAGGGGTTTGAGGTTTTTGAATGGCTATTTCTATAAGTTGAAAATTATACATTTCTCTTTGCTTATAGATCACAGTTAACCTCTCATTCAGATCCTTAATCTCCTGAGCAATTTTATGACGAGGAATTACCCGCCCAACATGGCCACAACAAAAGCAGCGGGGGACAATAGGGAAACGTACCTTTTTCTTAGCAACAACAGCACTTGTGCCTTCCCTTTCTTGCTTCTCAACTTGTTGTCTCAAAATCTCACCGTTCCAGTCATCCAGCACATCTACCATGTCGGAGGATATTTCCTTGAGATTATCCAACCAGTCTCTCACGCTGGCCTCTTTCACTTGCTTTTGCTCTGCATCCTCAAGCACAGCCCGAATTGCTTTTAGATTGCGAGCAAATTCTTTAACTTCTTTCTCAACGTTCAAAACAAGTGTCACCTCTTCGGCTACGTATTCATAAGTCATTGAAGCTAACTTTTCTAGTAGTGTGGAGATAAGGGCATCAGCCATTTTTAGGGTAAGGAACTTAGAAATTGGTTGACAGAGGATAAAAAGAGAATAGTTGGAAAAAGGAAAGTGTATAGGAATTAGAGAAATGCAGGATGTGGTTGCGTGCTATTGCTTTTCTTCTACCTAGTTTATATAGACAACGGATATATATATATATATATAAACCGCGTAGGTCTTTTTCCCGTTTGCATTCTGTAAAGCAAGATTCTTTGCATTAATTACCAAAACGAAGATGGAGGCCTAAGCACCTCTCTTTTCTCTCTGTACACGTCTCCCTCTTCTGCGGTTTACTCTCCGTGGAGAGAAAGGAATAACAGCAACTTTTATGAGTGAATTTATTATTGCTACTGTCAGCAAGCAAGCTCATTTCCTTAGAGCATAATTAACCATGTTACAGAATCTGAATGTATTTCTTGTGCAAAGATCGACTTCCTACATGGAATTATGCCTTTCGTTTGGGTGGCTGTTTGTTCGATTGGCATTCGTGCCTTTGTTAGCAAGCAAGCTCATTTCCTTAGAGCCTAATTAACCATGTTACAGAATCTGAATGTCTTTCTTGAGTGAAGATCGACTTCCTACATGGAATTACGCCTTCCGTTTGGGTGGCTGTTTGTTCGAATGGCGTTCGTGACTTTGTCAGCAAGCAAGTTCATCTCCTTAGAGCCAAGTAACCTTGTCGCAGCATCTGAATGTCTTTTCTTGAGTGAAGATCGAGCTCCTAATTCCTACATGGGATTACGCCTTCCGTTTGGGTGGCTGTTTGTTCGATTGACATTCGTTTGTGCCTCTTCGTTTAGTGTGGCTCTTGGGCCTTTGTTCATTAGTCCTTCTCGGGTGGAGAATTTGTATGGTGATTAGTTTTTTTTATTTGTTGCTTGCGGTTTTCACTTCTGCGGAACTGGTCTACTTCGATATAATTTTTTTTTTTTGTTTTTTTTTTCCTTCGATATCATATTTGAACTTTGAGAAAAAACAAGGGCCGTTTTTAACAATTTTTCAGCCAATCAAAATGGCCGTTAAACTGAGCGGAAAATTATTTTTGTATTTCAATAAACAATGAATGAAAATATAAATTATTTGGATCACAGAAAAATATTATAAAATAGGCTCTTAGAAAGTGGGTTAAAATGTATGTCAAAAAAATAGGCTCTCCGATCGTAACCCTAATTTAATTAGAGTGGCTTTTACTTTCGAGTTTTTATTTAGTACATTCTCCTTCACTTCCCTCAATCTTTCTACACTTCCGTCAATCTGTAGCAGAAAATAATAATAAATAACAAAAACAAAATGATTATCAAACGACTCATATATTACCTTTTAAAAACTACAACCTAAAACGAAACAATCATGGGCATTGACAGTTGGGGAAACTGAAATTCATATTTCATTCCGTATGGTCTAGGTCTCGTTAAGATTTCAATTTCTACGCCTCTATGCTGTCAAACGAAACAGCAGCACCCAAAAAGTTGTCAAAGAAACTTTCAGAAATAAGCAGTCCGTCCACCTCTTCGACTGTGCCTATCATATGCGGTGTTGAACTTGTCCACTAGCTCATTCGTTGTACTGAGCAAAAAAGAAATAAAGGAAGTGAGAATACAATTGTCATATTCAGCTATGTACTGCTTTAGTATCATTGAAATTTTGATACAATGCCACATTCAACTACTCTACTGTTTTACCCCAACAAAAATATACGCACGCTGCAGAGTACAGAGCTACGCAAACTTGGTAACTGCATTAGTATCACACAGAGGTTTGGATTACGATCCTAACTGTGAATGTAATTCGTAAATTCAACTTACGACAACACCAGTATTATAAACAACTTTATTCTAGGCGTAGGAACAAAATTCGTTACCACACATCAACTGAAAAAGATAGTAAAATCACCCCCACCCCGAACCCTACAATCGTTCAGGGCAGGAAAGACCAATTTCTAGATAGGTAGCCTCGGGTTTCAAACAGGAGAATACATGGGTATCAAACCCATGTGCCTAAGCTGCTCTCACTGAGCCCCCATTTGATCTTCACATCAAAGTCATTGACGTGGAAAAGTTTATGTTTACATTCAGTTCATAAGAATCACATGCAAGGAAAAACATATTAGTGCAAGATATGCCACATCTCATACCTTGAGCAGTTGGTCAGCACAGCCAAATATGTAATCAACAAAGTGTCATTGTATTCCTACCAAAAATAAAAAAAAGAGGTCAGCAACAATAGTGATTCACAGGATATAGATGTCAGCTTAATCAGCAGCCACTATCCACAATCATACATTATGTGAAAAGAGAGGAAAAAATCTCAGCAAAGAGGCCTTGCTTCCAGTTATGGATCACAAAATCTTCCAATCCAAATAAACGACAAGATAAAATTGATAATTGGAACTATGAAGCTTAAATTAAGAGCTTTTCTGAACCATGAAGCATAAGTAATGAGCTCTACCGAATACAGCTCTTACCAATAATATAACAAGTTTATTCTGATGAAACATATATAACCGGGAAGGGAAGGACCAAATCTTCTACGATTTTCCCAGCACTATCCAAAATTATTATGCCATCTTCCCATTTTTAATTAATGTTTATTTCTCTAATAATACAATCAAGTGCATAACAAATGCCTCTACTAGTGAATTCGGAATTGAAACGAGGAACACTCACCATCAAGAAATCATCTTGAAATTTCCCTGATTCTATGGCAGGCAACCTTCTCAAAAGACTTGATACTTGTCTTAACAGTGAATTTTCACAAGGTATATCACCTGCAAGTAGAAAAACAAGAGCAATTATTATCAGTTCTGGACCTTTCTAAAACATGGCTCCCAGCAGTATGTATACACAAAGTGCCAACACAAAAGCAAGTACTTGTACTTAAACTAAAAGTACGTGCGTACCTTTCTGCATAGCAAGAAGATAGTGATGAAGCACTCTAATTCTGCTATTTAGCATCTTGATAGCACTGTGGATACCTGTAAGATGAGCAGCCACTGCACACAACCGAGGTTGTATTAGTTTGTATCAGAAATAGATGAGTACGTCCAGTTATCTTTTGTGGGGAAGAACTGGTGTGAGATAAGCAACATGATCAACTGAGGACCCACATTGAGTTGCTGCTGAACCTCCATCAGATGGTTTAAGATGGGCAACATGATCAACTGAAATGCGCTCAGCTTCCACCGTCTTTGAACACACACACACACACACAAAATAAGAACAAAAACGTCTCCGTAAACCCTGGTTGATAATAATAAATAACTTTAAAGTAGAAAATAATGAATAAGCCTAACCTCAATGGTATAGCTTGAGCTGACAAAGATTAGCTGTGGAATCCCATCAATGACATGCATCTCTACGGTTGTAAAGTTAACACTCATAAGACGACAAAGTTTAAAAAGATAAACGATAAACGGCAATTCAAATAGGAACCAAGAAAACTGTCCAAATCCCACAAGTTTTCCATAAGACTCTGGCCAATAGAAATAATTTGCAAGCCAGTCCAGTTACAAATATTGCGACCCTAAAAGTCATTGCACAATAGATTTCACTAGGGACCATGATTTCATCAGACAAATAAGAGTTGCAGGAACTATTAATTGTACAGTAGAAGACAAAGAAAAAAGAAACACTACAATCTTAACTAAAACTAAGAAAATGGCAGCAAACAACAGATAACGCTGTGGTACAACACCATCAATGTGGGGTTGTTAAGAAGCTTAAACAACCACCTACTAAATTTTAGACAGCTTTATGTTCGACAGAGTATTGAAAGAACTGGAACCGGCACTGGGGCACTTTTAGTTTGTTTGCCACAGTTCTCAAGGATGGCTTCCTAAGAAACACCAAACGTGCCCGAATTCCAATACAATATCTCAAGCAAACAACCACCAACCAGCACAAGCTAAAATAAGCAACATGGTATATACAAGAACGAGAAAGCACTACATGCACATGCTGCCATGATAAAAATACAAATTCATGCTTCAGCCGTAGATATGATACCACATAGCATACAAATTCACAAAATTAGAAATGCATAGGTTCACATTTAACTGGAAATGCCCACAAAAGCTCACGTACACAACAAGATAACAATGCAGCTAACGTACCACTTTCGTAAATAGTGATTGGGAGATCCTTTTGAGCAGCATTGATCATAGGGTTGAGAATAACATAAACAGGGCTTTCATTGATATCCATCAGCTGCGACATTAGAAAGTAGAAACACACATTCTTATCATGGGAATACCGAAAACCAAATGCAGTATAAACATCATGCCGAAAAACTAGACTCTCGAATTCAAGAATCATTCATAATTCGTAGACGACATGATTCGGTCGCTAACAGTACAGTATCACGTAATGCAAGTATCTACGGGTTCGAATAATAAGAAAAGAGCAGAAAAATTACAGCTTTGTGGATGTTCATGTCAGATTCCTGAGCATCTGTTCCAGTAGAGTACCACCCCAGTATGTAAAAGTGCGGGAACACCTTCTTATCTGCAAAAGCAAAATACTGCCACTGATTAAAACCACAAAAATGAAAAATAAAATAACAAAAAATAAAAGCTATGAGAAACGAGAACGCAACAGAGCTCTTGCTTCTTCTCGAGGAAGGCGCGGTCGAGGGAGTGAGTTGCAGGATCGTAGAGGAGCTCGAAGCTGTTGAAGATCTCGACCGTGCGGCCCCTCTGAACCCCGATAACGCAGCCGAAGACCCGCGGACACGAGGCGGAGGCGGGGTCGGAGAAGGAAGAAGAGGATGCTGCTTCTACTGCTCCGTCGGCGCCGTTGTTGGGCGGTGGTGGTGTCGAAGTGTTGGTGACGGGCGGGTGCATCTGGGACTTAACCCTAGAGTAGTGGTCGGAGATGTTGACGATCACCAGTGGGTGGAGCTTGAACGTCAGCCCGCTGCTGGAGGATTCCGCCATTTTTTCCGATTTCGAGATTTGGTGGTTTTGGCTTTTTGGCTCTTCGGAGCTCCGGTTTCGGTTTTTGCTTTTGCTCTTCTCTGCCTTCTCTTTTCTTTTTATTTTATTTGTGATTTCATTGCAGTTTAATTTCCGAGTTGGTGACTTAACTCCGTTCGTTCAGTATTTGGGCCTGAGTCTGGTGGGTTTTGGAACCATGAAATGGCATCTGGCCCAGCCCATATTTTACAAACTTCAGACCTTGGGCCCGTTTAGTAGAGGACGTGCTGATTTTTTTTTTTTTTTTAACAAACAATATTATCACCATTTAGTATTATAGTCCAATGGTATTCCTTTTTCTTGTAAGTTAAAGATCTTAGGTTCTGTTCATTTTTATAATGCGATTCAAATTCGTGAATATTTCACTTATCAATGAAGATGAATACTACTAAATAGAAGAAGACATGTCGATTTGAATAAAGCCCATCGCTTGAAACGCTTTTCCAACGTCACACGACCCATGAGGAAGACGAACCAAACAAATAAAATAAAACGTTTTAGTTAAAATGATATATGAGATTGACATAACTTTTTACTTTGATATCTGAGATTTGAAATTAACATAATTAGTTTCTGAGTTTGTTCGTTATGAATCATTTTTGTGAAAATTTTCTTTTAATAAGAATAAAAATGATAAAAATACTTTTAAATTAATAAAGTCAAAATGATTTGACAAAAATTGATAATGTTTTTATCGTTTTATTTTTATTTAACAGAAACTTTTACAAAATAACCAAAATGATTAGTGTACCACAATCTCATAGGCCAATTTTATCGACACGAAAGTAAAGATTTATGCTAATATCACATTGCATTTTAAGCTAAAAAGCCATAAAAATAAATAAAATTAATTAATCTGATAACTTTGACAGACGTCACAGACCAAGAAGAGGAACTGAAACGGGCATCAAGGCTCTGTCTCTGCTGTAATCCCCTCAATCCAAATCCCAACAAACACACTCGTCATTTCTTCATATTTTCCGGTTGGTCTTTCTAAAATTATTATTTAAATAATTCACAGAGAAGAAAAATACGCACAGATATTTACACAGTGGGTGGCGGTTGTTTTGTAGTTCTGGTGTGGATTGAAGAGGAGGAAGAACATCGGCCGCCATGGCGATGCGCGAGCTCGTGACCGGCGGAGCAGCTTGTGCGGTTCCGGGCCAATCTTCTTCCTCCAATCCTTTCGGCGCCCTCGCCAACGCCCTCATCGGCTCCTCCTCCGAGCAGGTTCGTCTTCTCTTCCTCCTTTCAATCTCTCTGTATTTCATTCGTTTCGATCAGCAATTTAGTCGGAAACGGCGGCGACGGCGTCGTTTTGTTGAAATTCGGTTTAATTTGTCAGCAGGAGAGGTTGAAGGAGGTACCTTCGTCGACGCCCACTGCTTCCGAGCCGCAGTTTTATCCCGACGGCCATGGACACCTGCAACAGCTCCCCGGCTCCGAGCTCGACCGGCCGTTTATGCAGCCCCGCACTCAGGTTCGACTTCCAAAGCTCCAATCTTTCCCCACTGATTTTACTTCTAGTATTAGAATTTACTTACCTTTAATTTTGCTTAATTAGCATTCGTTTTGTGTCAGAGCTCGGAGTTTCTTCGAAACTTCAACTCGGTTGATGGCAACAGACTGCTTGACAATGCATGGGACGAGGTACAGAGTTCTCAGCCCGAGCCTATGCATATGCCTCAACACGACCGCATTTATGATATGAGACCTGAGCTTCAAACGACTTTGGATGGTAAATTTCTCAAAGTGCTTGTTATTTACCTCTTGATTGTTGCACTTCATTCACAACCTGCTAGGCTTTCCGTTTCGTCCATGTTATTTCGCCTTCATAAGTAAGTAACGAGTGAACGACATAAATGGCAAGATTACTTGATCAAGAATGGATATTGGTTTCTATGTTTATCAACATTGGAGAATGGTACAGTTGCTTGTGAATGAGTGTTTGTCAGAGGCTTTTATGCCCAAAACTGGCATTTGAATAAGAAAAAAACGCATAATAGGCGATACTTTGGAGTTTTGGATTTCGGTGCTGCTACTTTTAATTATTTTATATCTTGAAACGTTTAACTTTGAAGTGAGGTAGAAGCTTGAAGTTTTAGTTAATTTTTTTTCTTTTCAATTTCCAGTTAATGTACTAAATAGTTTATTGGCTCAAGTGAACCCTCGAAGTGATCAATATGCATTTTTTAAATTTATATTGAGATTTTATAGTTCAACCAGAAAAAAGGAAAAGTTCTTTTGTGTTATTTCTCTTTTTGGATGAGTTGTAGGTTGTTATCTTCCCGCTTTGTGTACTACTTTATGCTTAGCCTAAACGTCTGGTCGTTGCTTCTGATCAAATAACCAGGAGTAGTGTCTATCCTCAGCATAAAGGATTATTAATTTATTTTGAGATTTATCTATATTTTTCCCTTCTAAATATGTTTTGCAGGGCCACCACAAAGGGTGTTGTCAAGCTTTTTGCACTCATTTGTTGAAAGTAGTCGTGGTGGAATGCCTTTTCGTCCCACTCCACTTCCAGTGTTAGGATTGTCTGCTGGTGACAAACAATGTATACGTGATCGCACCAGCATCATGGCCCGGCACTTCTTTGCTGATAAAAGTGAAGATTTTATTAATGGGCAGGTTTGAAATTTCTCTTACCTATGTATATTGGAATTTGTCTGTCATAAATCAAAATGTATCTTCTTTTCTAGTAGTAGCTGTCAGCTTGGTTTTTTTTTATGAGCATTCGATAGCATATTTTCTATTTCCTCATTGTCATGTTTTTGCTTGTCTTTGGGGTTTGTTTCAGAAGTTTGTATCTTGAGTTGTTCCTTTTCTTTCCAACGAGAATCATAGTCTCAAGAGTTTAGGTTAATTTTCTATTTTCTATTTTTCCAGGTAAATGCACTTTTATCTTCTTTAGATATTGACAGTGATGTCAACAGTAAAGGACCTCTGCCTGCAAGGTTTCGGGAACTGGACGATTATTGGAATGAATCCCAAGCTATAACAAAACCTGGTGCTCACGCTGTGCAAGGATGGGTCACTGAATTTAGCCAACATAGGTTAGATCATGGTGATCCCAATGCGTGGGCTCACTCATTTGAGCGACAACATGGTGCCAATGGTTGGGCTTCTGAATTTGAGCAGGTAAAGGAGTATTGTAGCTTGTATGTCAATTGCATTCACTGATTCTATACTCACTTGCTATTGATCAATCATTGACCTTCATAATGTGATGGAGAATGACGCTAGCAATTATTTATTGTTATCATCGATTTACCAACCAAGGAGGTTGGAAAATGTGTGCTTGAGTTAAAATTTGGTGGTGGCAATATATTAGGTTTTTTTAGGGTAAGTTACAAGATTCTGGGGTTTGGGGATTATTCCTGTGCAGTGTATTGGCCTAGAACCAGGGGCTTCTTCAAGATGAAGCACGTAGTACATGGTGGAGTATGCTTGTAATATAGAAGCACCGAAAAGTTTTTTAACCTAAGGAAAATAGAAAAGAAAAGAAGAAGAATATATAAGTTCTGGCCCCTTAATTAAAAACTAGGCTTACCACCTTAGTTTGGGTACATCACACTATTGTATGTGAGTTGACCTTGAACTGAAAGTGTAAGACTGTGTATATGCTGCTTGATACCCCGTTGTAATAGGATTTGGATTTTAAAACTATAATCAATACAAATTTTATATGAGAGCAATATTGATGCATAATTTTCCGTTTCCCGTGGTTACAGGAACAGTCCCAGTTGATGTCTGCAGATCATATGAGAGGTGTAAATATGGCAAGCTTAGCTGCAATGGAGCAAACTCGTATGCTTGCAAATACGCTAGCTCAGAATGAAGAACCAAAGTTTCAGGTTTATACACGTTCTTCACACTGTTTCCAAGACTGAATTTTGGAACATTTTTTTTTTGAATATCACATCAGCAAATGACTTTTGGAATCAAGCACTCTTTCCGAGCTTTTGCACGCCTTGTAATTGACTTATCGTTTTTGGCTGAACCTTTTGGACTGCAATAGTCACTAGTCACAGAATCTATTATAAATGATGCTAATGTTTGTAACATGTCATTTTTACACCATTTTTTACATTAGTGCTTCCAAGTATAACAAACATGGAATTACTAAAGCTGAATTCCTGTAAAAATTCTCATGAAATGCTCCAATTGCTGTTAGCTGTATTCACTTTTAGGTGTCCTTGTTAGCTTGTGTCAACTTTTTGATTTTGTAAGCAGACGCTTACATGAATTAATCTCTGGATGTTTTGGCATTAAATAGCTCGGGGGCTGTTAATTATCATGACATGTAGTCAGAACATTGTTCTTAAACAAATGATGGCCCCAGTTGCATGTGATTTGTTATGATGGGTATTAACGATGCAATGTAATTGCATTCTTGTTTTTTGGAATTATTACTATCGTCATTCATATATTTTACTTTTCGGGGTATGTAGAAGTCAAGGTTTCTCCAGTTTGTGTCAAAAATGAATCGTGGTGAACTCATTATCGATGATAATCAAGTCAAGCCAGCAACATCATCTGGGGACTGGGCATCGGAATATCAACAGCAGTATAATGCGGGTCCTAGTTGGGCTGACGAATATGCACGTGGCGAGGTAGGAATCTGGTCTGAATATGAATATTTGTTCCCTAGTTTTATATTTACTTTCAGCATCTGAAATATACCAACCAATTTTGAACCCATTTTGCGATACTTTTCCTATTTGTACAAGCGATTCTGCCTAATTACTTATTTTGGGGTGTTGAGGTGAGGTGTTCATGTTCTGGTTTATGAATGGTATGAAGAAAGGGTGGGATGAGTTAGTTTCTGGGATGACTTGTGGTGCGGGATGACACATAAAAGAAAAGGGGAAGTGATTTCCTCACACCCTTTTTCTCCCATGCACAACCCTTTTTAGTTCGTAGGAGAATCAAGGGACGAAAATAAACAGTGGTGTCCGAGAATCATTTCACAAGAAAAACCTTATACATACAAAAACTAATGTAATTGAATTGGTAATTATAATGCATCTAACTTTTTGTACGTATACTTCAACAAAGTTTAACATACA